CGTAACTGTAGGGGAGGTGTGCCCACGAGTACAGCAGAGTCACAGGTTCAATAAACCCTCAGATCCGACACAGGAAGCTGGAACCTTTAACGATCCAGCGGAAACCTTTTACTTCCAGATAAAACTCGTTGGCAGGAGTCAGTTTTCATCGTCGCGGCTCGAGCTGAACTAAAGCAGCAAAAGAGAGAAAAACGCCTGCAAAGGAAAAAAGTCTTCACTTTATCTTTAACGATACAAAACGAGAGCATTGCAGCAAAAACTAACCATTTATTTAATATCTTGTTTTCATGATCACTGGATGCCAAAAATGAACCAAACCTGAGGATTAACTTCCTGATTAACCCGATCAAAGAAAGCTCGGAGACTTTTGTCTCGCTGTGTTTGAGCTAACAAGCAGCTGAATCACACGGGAAACATCCTCGATCTTACGCGATCCCTCGAGCTCGCTGCACGGACAGTGAAAGGTAATGCTCCACAGTATGAGCAAAAATATATTTTCTTCATATTCTGACTCGCAGAATTATTATGAACATGATTTTCACATGAGCGGGGCTCAACAACAATACATATGGGGGAGAGAAAAAAGACTGACACAAGTGCAGAGAGTCTCGTTAACAGTTAATACGAACTATGTGGCGTCTCCAGGTAAAATCACCTGATAGCAACGGCTCTAACAGGCGTCTCGAGTTGTGATCAGCCACCTTCCGACCATCAGCGGTTCAACCTGACCTTTCTTGATAATAACTGGTCAAACTTCCTTTTGCAGCAACACTCTTGACACCCAATCAGACGCCGTAACCGTGACACTACTGAGCATGTGCACACACTCCCTGCTAAAAGAAAAGCTTTGGTGGAGCTGAGGGTGCCCGGAAGGTCACTGATTGATGCTTCACTCTGAGGAAGACTGACGTGAGGTTTGAACGATGGAGTGAACACAAAACGACTCAGAGCACCAACGAAGAGTCTCGAGAGGCAAAGTAGCACCAAAGAGAGCACCAAATACGGATCACTCCGCTGCTGAAAACGGTCCCGAGCAGACGGACCATCTCCTCCTGTTTGAATTCGCAGCTGCTGCGTGAAATGTTGACGCCTCTTTCGAAGGCAACGCGTCATCTGCAGAAGGCGTACGACCGTCTTCTGCACCTCCGGCCCTAAGACCGAACCTGCTTTGTGCTCACTCCACAGCTGTCGGGCTGGAAATAAAACTGGAGCACCTCAGAGTTAAACACTCAGACATTTACAGAAACAGACAAACAACATGGAAAAAACATGAAAATAATTAAAAAATAATCAAAGTTCTCAGCGTCGATGAACCGTGAAACCATAAAGCGTGTCTTCGATTTGAATGTGTAACTTCCAGGATGTGAAGTTCATGTTGATCCTGGTGTAACCTGCCTTTGAGAATCCCTGCAGTAACCCGTGTGTGTGTTTAACACCTGTTTGATTCCGGCCTCAGGCCTCAGTCTTCCCGCTCTGTTCGGGAATCTTCGTGGCACTCCAGCCGAGCAGTCACTTTAAAACCGAGCCGAAGCCGGACAATTTCTGCTTGGCGTGCGGCTTCTCGCCGCCGTCCTCCACCAGTTGGTTTCCAGTCTCCAGGGAGCTGTTGGCGGTCTCGTTACTGCAGGTTTTAAACTCCGTCGGATCGGGATCGGGGTCGGGATCCGGCTCCGGCTGGGACTCCGCGGCCGTCTCCCAGTCCTCCTCCTCCTCTTCGTCGTCCTCCTCTTTGTCTCTGTGGGTGGCCCGGCTCTGGACGAGGCAGAGCCGGGCCATGGCCTGGTTGATGGTCAGCGTGCTGATCAGGTTGAAGTCGTGCATGCTGATCAGATGGAGCAGGAAATTGCGACACAGGTTGCGTTTGACGATGACGGCGGCGTGGTGTTCAGCAAACAGCAGACACGCTTCGTTCATCTGGTTATCTGCGATGAAGCTGGGAGGAAGACGGCAGTGGATAAGGTGAGGTTTAAAAAACAAAGACCCTGATTTAACCCTTTAAGACCGACCATAGAACCAAGTCC